CTAATGGCCAGTGTGACCAAGTGGGGGATATTTTGTTTTCGGTGGGGTTTCAATGGTTTGCATGCGGAGGGGGTGGGACTCAGTTTCCCCGGGTGTTACTGGTTTAACGAGGTGAGGGGAGAGGGAGTTTGTTGTTACCGAGGACCGGAGAGGCACATGCTAAATAGCTTAAGGACTGGCTAACTGATGGATCTCAAGCAGTGGTCACTGATGGGGAGTCGCTGAATGAGGGTGTTTCCAGTGGGATTGGTTCTACGCCTGACACGAGTCACTGTCAGAGGTGGCCTGGCCAAGTGGCTAGAGGCCTGGAATAGTGCGTTGGGCTGGGTCTCAGGAAACCTGGGTTCTATCCTGAGCTTGGACCCTGGCCTGCTGGGTGACCTGGGACAAGTCGCTTCCCTGCCCTGTGCCTCGATTTCTCCACCTGTAAAACTGGAGACCGATCCTGCCTCCTTTGTGCGGCGCTTTGAGAGCGACTGAGGAAAACGTCAGGGATGATTTTTGTCATCAGCAATCTCGGGGTATCTGTGGAGAGCAGCAGACGGACGGTGCAGCCAGTAATGAGGACAGGGTGACACCCGGAGCGATCTGCTCACTCGCTAAGCTGGGCCCATTCAAACAACACCGGATTCAAAACAGCCAAATGCAAACAGCGACTCGGAAAAGGATCCGGGGCTCACGCTGGGCAAGTAACCGACCAAGCGCTCCCAGCGCGAAGCTGTGCTGCAAAGGGCTAATGTGACCGGGGGGGGGGTATAAACAGGGGAGCAGGCGCAGGGGGGGGTTTACTTCTGTACACAGCGCTGGTGAGACCAGTGCTGGATCCCGCTTCCAGCTCTGGTGGCCGCAGTATTAAAAAGACGTTGAAAACTTGGAGAGGTGCAGAGAAGAGACAAAAATTATTCCAGGCCTGGTGAAAGCGACGAGCGGGAGACAAAGAGCTGGGAGCTGAGGCCAAGGAAATGCCCCTTAGAAATAAGACCCAAATGTGTGCCAGGGAGGTGGTTCCCGCTGGCAGCCTGCCAAGGGACTCTCTGGCTCGTGCCGCCGATCCACACCGGAGCCCCAACTCGTGCCGCCCTTCCCCCGCCGCCCCAACCCCAACTGTGCCCTTCCCTCGCCGCTGCCGACCCTAACCCCCTGCCCTTCCCCCACCGCCCCAACCCCAACTGTTCCCTTCCCCCACCACTACCAACCTAACTCCCTGCCCTTCCCCACTGCCCCACCACACCCTTCCCCCGCCACTGCAAACAGCGCCCTTCCCCCGCCGTCCCAACCCCAACTGTGCCCTTCCCACGCTGCTGCCAACCTAACCCCCTGCCCTTCCCCACCACTGCCAACCTAACCCCTGCTGTTCCCCCACCGCTGCCTACCGTAACCCCCTGCCCTTCCCCCGCCGCTGCCCACCCCAACCCCCTGCCCTTCCCCCACACCCCAACTGCGCCCTTCCCTCGCCGCTGCCCATCCCAACACGCCGCTTTTCCCCTTCCTCCGCCACCCCACCCCACTCCGCTCTTCCCCTGCCACTACCCACCCCAACCCCTTTCCAGTGCCTGCTCCCGCCATGTCCCCGTGTGGGAAAATCACTAGCGGGGACAAATTCAGCCACGCAAATGGTTCCCCCGCGAGCTGGGGGCAGCACCAGCGAGGTGGGAGAGGCACCTGGTCTGGCTGAGCAGATGGGGGTGCAGGGGGCGCAGGGGCACGGGGATCCCGCCGGCTGGGGGCGCAGGGATCCCGCCGGCTGGGGGCGCAGAGATCCCGCCGGCTGGGGGCACGGGGATCCTGACGGCTGGGGGGGCAGGGATCCCGCCGGCAGGGGGCACAGGGCGCCTGGATCCCGCCGGTGGGGGTGCAGGGATCCCGCCAGCTGGGGGCGCAGGGCGCGGTGATCCCGCCGGCTGGGGGCGCAGGGATCCTGCTGGCTGGCAGGAGAGTCGTTATTAGATGGAGCCGTATTCCCTGAGCGGCCAACCGCCCGCCTGGCTGTTATAAATGCCACGCTCAGCCTGCCTGGGCCAGCCTCTCGCAGGGACGGCCAGCGTCACCAAGACAGCTGCTCCCAAGGCAGCCAGCCCTCCTGCTGGGCCCAAGGAGAGGGGCAGGGCCCCAGCGCTTCCACCTCTGACAGCACCTCCCGGCAGGAGGGTGGGGGGGGTTGCAGACCAGACCCAGATCCCTGCAAACCAGACCCAAGTGCCAAGGCCACGGCAGGAGGCCGGGGCAGGGGGAACCTCAAAGGGGCTCTTCCAGGCATGGAGCTAGCGAGCTCCACGGGACCCAGGCTGACCCTGCGCCCCCCAGGAGTGCTGCCAATGGGGGGTGGAGCTCACGCTGTCATGCTGGGCAGCACCCACAAGCACCCTGGGGAGCCCCTCTCAGCTCTGCTCCCCCCAGAAGGACCCCGGGGATGAAGCCGCATGGGGGGGTGGAGGGTGTTACCCGCCCATGGCCTGTGGACGCCTCCAAGACCTCGTGCCTTACGCTGCCCAAACAGCCCGGGCACGCTCGCACTTGCATGCACCTCTGCCGAGGGAGGGGCAGAGAAGGAGCCTCCCCCGCCCAGCGGCCCCTCCCCACACCACAACAGCCGCTGTGAAAACAAGCAGCGCCCTGTGGCGGTGAGACAGGCTGTGCTGAGAGCGCAGGCCGGACCCCGCCGCTCCCTCCTCCAGAAACACCTTCGCTGGCAACGAACCGGTGCCACAACCCGGCTGCCTGCAGCCCACGAACCCCGCGGCAGGCACGACCCCGGCCCCACAGCCCCTGGCGCGATGGGCTCTGGAGCCACGAGGCAGGGCCCGACTCCCTGTGAGACACCCCTGCAGGCCCCGGCGCAGACCCATCACCAGAGCCGGCGTCACGTCAGGGCACCCTGGTATCCTGTTCACCAGCCTTCCCTTGTACCCCAGGCAGGCAGATGGAAAGGCCAGCCCCCTGCCCGCAACTGGCCCCACCACCGCGCTCAACAGCGGGTGGGACCCAGGTCATGGATGGGCCCAGCACCCCCATCCCGCTCTGCCCAACGTCATCTGGGCCCACAGCTGCCATACAGAGGTGCAAAGACGTCGCTCTTTCCTGACCTGCCCCACAGCGTTACAAGGGACCCCCTGTGCCCCCCTTGGCCCCATAGGCTCCGCTCACACCCAGAGCTCCCTGCCCTGCCGTGGCTTCCCACTGTCCCTACAGCTCCCAGCCTGTAAACAGCCTACACGCCCCCCGCCCGCGACACACAATCCTGTGCTCCGGCCCCAGCTGCCAGCCCTCTGCCCTGGGAGTCCCGACACCCACGCACACCCACGCGCACACACTGCCCCTCTGCCCTGGGAGTCCCGACACGACACACACCCACGCGCACACACTGCCCCGTGCCCTGGGACCCCGCAGCAGGGGTCCCCACAGCTCAGCCCACTGCAGCCCCCGCCCCTGGGGCTGGGCAGACAGACACACTGCCCCTCTGCCCTGGGAGTCCCGACACCCACACACACCCATGCGCACACTCCGGAGCTCAGCAAAGGAGGGGTTCTGAAGCACCTGAGACCCAAGGGGACGGGACACCCCAGCTAACAAAGCCCCCTCTTCGTGCCCAGGCCCTGTGGTGAGGCCCAGCACCGGCTTTACAAAGAGCGTGAGGTGTCCGGCGTGTCCCAGAGCCCCGAGGTGAGGTTACCCTGGGTTCGCAGAGGGGACGCGCTGCCCACAGCGGAGCTGCCTGATCCGGGTCCCCACACCAGGGACCCTGGGCTCCCGGGTTTGGGTGGGGGAGGGGGAAGCCACAATCCTGGAGACGAGGTGCAGGGTTCAGGGTTCCCCTGACCACGCTGACCTGCCTTGCTGAGCTCCGCACCTGGCTGAATGCCAGGGCCAAGGCCCAAAGACCGGGGGCAAGCAGGAGCCTGGGGGAAGCTGTGTCAGGGCCCTGGGAGAGGCAGTAGGGTGTCCCCACAAGCCCAATGGCCGGCGTCCCCGGGCACCCAGCCCCGACAGCCAGCACCCATTGGTACCCACCCTCCCATCTTCTAGGCCCTGGCCTGCAGCCCAGCCCACGCGCCCATGGCCCAAAGGAACTGGAGGAACGGCTCTGACAGGTCGCTGAGCAGGCCCTCTCCATCCCCAGCCAGAGGCCTTGAGCCAGGGGCATAGGACAAGGAAGCGGCAACTGCCACAGGGCAACCATGGTACCCGCCCCGTGTGCGGTCCCCACACTGCCCAGTCTCCCACCCCTCCAAGGCACCATCCCCATGGTCCCTCCCAGCCCCACGCACCTGCCCCTTTGAAACACAAGTCCCCACAGAGCCCTATGCACACGCCCATCCCCATGGCACCCAGTCCCACCTTGCCCCTCCAAGGCGCCCAACCCACACATCTGCCCGGTCCCTGAAGTACTCGTCCCCATCCCACGCTGCCCGTCCCCACATGCCCATCTTGTGCTGCCTGTCCCCAGGTGCCCATCCCCACGTGCCCGTCCCTGTCCTGCCCTGACTGTTCCCAGGTGCCTGTCCCCATCCCACGCTGCCCATCCCCACGTGTCTGTCCCCGTCCCACACTGCCTGTCCCCACATGTCCATCCTGCCCTACCCTGTCCTCAGGTGCCCATCCCTGTCCTGCCCTGCCCGTCCCCAGGTGCCTGTCCCCATCCAGTACTGCCCGTCCCCACATGCCTGTCTTGCCCATCCCCAGGTGCCCATTCCCGTCCCGCACTGCCCGTCCCCAGGTACTCGTCCCCATCCCGCACTGCCCGTCCCCGTCCCACCCTGCCTGTCCCCAGGTACCTGTCCCCATCCCGCACTGCCCGTCCCCAGGTACCCGTCCCCATCCTGCCCTGCCCGTCT